ACTGAGACTCGCACTCAGCACACAGCCCAGCAGCTGTGCTCCGGGCACTCATTTCAGAGGGAGGCCTGTGCTCACAGGGACACTGTGCACAGAGGTCATGGCCCCGCGGGCACCACGTCCACGGGGGAAGCCATGGAGGCCTCTGCCCCTCCTGCGTGGACGGGTTAGCAGCCGTCGGTCCCCCCAGACCAGGGACACTGCTCAGCAAGGACAAGAAAGGAGCTGTTTTTACAATTCATGTGGTTTTATTGATTTCAGAGATGAAGGGAATGGGGGAGAGAGAGAGAGAGAGAGACTTTCCATTCTCCAAATTGTAGTTCTCAGGCTTGGAAAGACAGAGAGAGAAACATCAATGATGGGAGACAATCATTGACTGGCTGCCTCCTGCCCTCCACTTCCTGGGGATTTTCCCTGCAACGCGGTCATGTGTCCTAGAGCAGAATCCTACCCGGGACCCCTCATCTGCAGACCCAGGAAATATCCACTGAGCCACACCAGAGTGGCCCAGCAAGGTTTATTTAACGTTCAAAAGGCCCATTGTCATCAAGACACTGACGGGTGATAAATGTCTGGGAGCCCAGGTTCCATGTAAACCGTGCTTCTATTGAACATGGAGGGGTCACTGTGGAACTGACGTGGCTGCTGTTACAGACGTTCCCGCTCACGGTGTCCAGGCCCCTCCCGGGGGCAGTCCCGATGCACCCACACTCGTCATGGGCCTCCTGCTCCTGGACGTGACCCATGGCTGAAGGACCCATGACTGACAGGGCTCCATGTGGGATCGTCCACAGGTGCCCGAAGCTGCCCTTGCTCTCGCTCCACACAGACGGGCAGCTGTGCTCAGGGCTTGGTCTGCAGTCCCTCGGGGCTGGAGGAGAGGGTGACACAGGGAGGTTTCTGTCCCACTTCCCCACCCGCCTGTGTCACTGTGAGCTTTAGCACTGTCGTCCCATGTTAAACAGTAATAGTTGGCCTCGTCCTGGGCCTGGGCCCTGCTGATGGCCAGGGTGTCGGTGTCCACTGACCAGGAAGTAGAGAATCGCTCAGGGATCATTGAGGTCCTGTTTTTGTCAGCATAGATGACCAGCACGGGGGCTTGGCCGGGCTTCTGCTGGTACCAGCTTGGTAAATATTTTTTTTCGAGATTTTCCTTGCAGGTGATCTTGGCCGTCTGTCCCAGGGCCACGGACACTGCTGGGGGCTGAGTCAGTTCTGAAGAG